ATTAATGTGCCATCATCTAAATGTCGCCTCCAACGCACCTTAACAGACAGTGCTCAGAACGCTTCCTTTTTTTGTTTTTAACTTCCCTAGAGTTATTTTTGAAGGTGAGGTGTACATTTTCGCTGATAACTGTCAGTTTATTACAGGTTTATTTATAATATGTTAGTGAAAGTACAACTATTTTTGCAAGCGAAATTCAAATTTGTTTCGCTAAAATTTGTAACTAGGTTATAAATAAGCAGCTATCTTTACCTTACTTCAAATGCAGCTTTTTAAACATTAATGACAAAAAAACCCAGTTCAAACATTACAACAAACCCAAGTTTCCTTATCCAGTTAAAAACTTAGGAATTCTTATTAGTAGTAAATTAAATTTTATACCACACTGCTAGCTCACGGCCCGCAAAACCAGAAAACATTTAATCCGATTTTCAAACTACCAAAACTATAAATATTAAAATTTCACTGAAGCCTTACGAGTACTGTATCTTATCTTCAATAAATTTTTGTTCTGACAGTTGTTTTCCCAATCACTTTAGTGGAAGCCGCTTACATAAAATACCGCAGAAACTTTCTGTCAATAAATTGCTCCAGGTCTTTCATTTTATTTGTGGAAAAAACATTCCATTATTAGAAACTGCTTTCGATAACCTATGTCTGGAAAGAAGAATTCTATACGCCATTCAAAACTGTTTTACAAAATTAGCAGTTAGAAAACCAACATTTCAAAGTCCAACATTATCAGGTAGTGTACTGAAACCAATCGCTTAAAAAGAATTCCGAACCACAGAGCCACATTTAAACTAACTTGCTTATAAAGTAGCTTTACAAAAACCTGAGATGCCTTGCTTAGTGATTTTGTGACCTATTCTTTTGTGAAATTATTTCAAATGTAACTCTAACAAACCTGTCTGTTCAACTTGCTCTTAAATTCTCCAACGCTAAAAAGTTGCTTTATGTTATCATTACTTTGTTTATTGCACTTATTTGTTTCTTCGCCACGATACTTATTTGCTTTACATAGCTGCGTTATTACTACCTGAATTCTATTTGTTGTTGAGAGTTGTTCCAAATTATTTTCGCAAACAAGTATTTAATTACAGCTCCTAACAAAGCTTTCCTCTCATTAAAATAGCATCAGAAACCCAACTGAGATATATACCACTTTTAAAATGTAATCGTTAACTTTTTAAATCAAATCTATTACACTGAGAGCAGCAGTTTTTTGAATTTCAATATTTCAAATGTCATTAAATGTTTCTGACACAGAGTTTCTACATCGTTCAACGGTCCCGCTTTGTTCTGCCACAAATTATATATTTTTTGATGAATTTAACTTATATTGATTTTAAACTCATTTAAATATAAAATCAAGTCAGAAAAAAATAAGCTTTTTTTTCTTTTGAACTTTTATCTCGTGAACAGTAACAGATTTTCCCTTTTTTTTTTTTTTGTCGTATGCTAAACGCGCAGTTCCGTCCATCACTGATGCATAGTTGAGAAATCGGATGGACAAAAACCGAGTGATTTCTACCCCCAATGTATCAAAAATTTTTTTGCACAACAGGAGAAAATTGTAAACAACTGTAAACAACAAAAGAGAGGAAAGAAGAATGTCAAAGACGCTCTCAAACCTAATATTCTACTTTAATAACCTGAAAAGAATATGAAAAGAAAACATAGCTTTAGACAAAACAAGGTATAACAATGTATCCTCTTTTGAATGATCTATGACATTATAGCAGAAACGTCTGATAGCATAAAAAACGTTAGATTTATAAAGAAAAACGCAAAAGTTTGTTGCCATGCCAAAAAAAAAATTATTTCATCAAAGTTTTACAGCTACTTTGCATTGTCCATCCAAAAATTGTTCAAGAAAGCATCTAACAAAAATGCCTCACTTTATTACTCGTCCAGATTAGGTAAAAACGACTACTCTTAATCGGTTAGCAGTAAAAAAGTAATTTAAACAAATTTCTCTATAACTACTGCGTAACTGCGCTATCCGAGTCGACTTCGGCAGTGCTACAAAAAGCTGCAGAAGTGTCGACCAAAAAAAGTTTGTAACACTGCTGTAGCAGCAAAGGCGCTAGAATTTCCACTGAAATGAGATCGTAAACTTTAAGATTCATTTTACCAATAGAAAACTCGCACAATAATTCTTCCTAATTTTTCTCCCTTCCTGTACACTTTGTCATTAAGGAAGCTCAAGAAATTTAGATGTTGCTGCATATTCTAAGAAATCCTTACACTAATCCCTAGTGGTTGCATCACTTACTGAAAATAGGAAAAAAGCGAATATATGATTAACAAAGACATTTTCCAACAGTCAAGAGGTAAATAATTACAAAAAAAAGCTGCATACTGCCGTTTGACATTCAACAAATTTGAAAAGTAAAGGAATTTTAGTGTTTTTGACCAGGAATAAATTCCAGTGAGATTAAGTGTCAGAAATGTAATATGAAACTTTGTCTCAAAAATTACAAAGAAAAAAAAAAAAGCTTACTAGTCTATAGAAAAAGGTAGCAGTTAAAATAAAAATTTTTAAAGCTTTTTTGAATTAACTGTTGTTGCGCTTTCTATATGAAACAGAACAGCGAAGCCGAGTCAAATTTCAAAGACGTTGCGATCAGAAGGCAGCAAATTTGTGAATAACAAAACTTGAAAACTCAAGAAAAGCAATTTTCTTTTCAATTGCCCTTAAACCTCTCAAGACTTTCAGACGTACAAATATGCTTAATATCCTTTTCACCTTTTTAAATATATTATTTGAGCTCGAGAAACCAAACTTATTGCCAAAATCCCAAATTGCAATAAAAAGGCTAAGTTTGATTCGCCTAACGACTTTATGCAATTCTGACAACCATAGCAGTACATATTCTTATGATCTCGGTCAATCAATAATTGATCTTTCAAAGTTCTGCTACAAATTATTTCTGTCCGTGCCACTATACAAAAAAAAAAAATGTTTTTTACGCTTATCCTCAAATTGTAATTTCAAGTGCCAACGCCATAAAAATTCAACAAAAAAGAACATATAAAATAAGCAAGGAGCAAAGTTTGAGTACACAAGCATAAATTGCTTGTAAAGGTTAATGAAGTAGGAAATGCTAGAACCGTTAAGACGACCAATAAAATGTGAGCTAGCATCTGGAAAATTAAAGCTGACTGGAATAAACAAGACTGTTACAAGTCTTAGTTAATTAAAAGATTTTGAATAAGGATCCAACGACAGCAGCGTAAGATTAACGATAAGCAAACAAATGCACAATTTTATGCAATTTAACAGCGATGGTTCTTAGCTAATTTGAATTCTTTTGAAACATTGGGACACGTAAAATTCTGCAGTAAAAATTCTGTAGACCCACATTTGAGTATTTTAAAATTTTATCACTGGCAACACAACCTAAATTCCTTTTCTTTGCAACAATGCTGAAAGTTAACGTCATTTACATCCGCAACAACAGATAGTTGTCAGTAGCAAAGAAAAAAGACAAGAACAAAGTGATTTTTGTACAGAATCTTACGTTATCAGATCTGAAGCAGTTGCAAACGTGTGAAATTTTCTCAAAAGCGATATGTTCAAAACTAAAAACTTTTACAAACCCCGTCTTTGTCAAATTTCAATAGCTCACGAGAACAACAGAACAAAACCAAATAAACAATTCTTAATATTTTTAGAAGTTAAAACAAACACTAATCTTCGCAAGCCGAAACATAAGAGCGAAAGAATGTAAACTTTAGATCCATGAACCTACTGCACAATTTATACTGCTTTTCATCTGGTTTTCTTTGAAATTAAACACTGGTCAACTTTTCTTTCACCTAGTTCAATTCAAACTTTTTATTGCAAACTTTTTACACGAATATAAAACGTGAATCCAAACAGATCTTGTAAAATCGTAAACCTAGAGCGCTTTTTTTCAAAGACGGAGACCAGCACGCGCTTACCGCAGTGCTGTTGCCTAATCGTTTTATCTTCCAAATGCTGATATATTATTATCAATTTTTCAAGCTTCCTGCTAAAGAAAAAGCCCACAAAAGGAATAGGTAACGTAAATTTCAAAGCTTCCTTCCTTTAATATAAATAAAAAGAAAATCAATCAAACAGTCACTCACCAACTAATCTAACAACTAATCAGTTACCTGCCTAAATGTTAACTGGTAAAAAGGAATGTTAAACTCAATGTCTACCCACACAATAAACCAGTCAGGAACTTTAGTCTGGAAACCAACCTACACATATAGAACAGTAAGTACTGCAACAAAAAGACGCAAATTGTTCAACAGAAGTTGTTGGATAGCGGTAGTGTAAAATACAATTATACATATAAACAGATTTTCACTTTCACATGGTTCTTCAGCCGGCGAGGTTGACACATCGTAAAATGCGAACAGTGGAATGCAGTCCGATATTTTAACACAACTGCACAGGGAAGAAAAAAGAAGAAATAAAGCAACACTGGAAGGTTAATTCCTCAGTGCAACGATGCACGACATTTGAAACTGAATCTGTTTTTATGGGTTTGTATGCGGTCTAGATGAAATCCTTCCCTCCGCTAACCAACCCGCCAAACAACTGACTATTTAGCCACTGTTACTGGCGCCGCCAATGTTCCTGTTATTTACTATTCCTCGACAAACTCGAAAACATTTCAGAGCGCCTCTGTTGAAGCTGTTACATTCAAATCTGCTTCTGCGCAAGGAGTCAAAATGGGACCAGCTGCACGACAGTCAAGCACTGCGAGTGGAAATGCATATGAAAGATGATAGTGTAGCTTGTCCCATCTATTCAATGATAATGATAATTAAACACGTCGGAATGAGCACCTTAGCGTTGAAAAAGATTCTTCGCCAAAGTTTGTTGAATCCTTCAAAAAAAAAAAAAACTCCCTTAATGCCAATTGGCGATCAGAACTTTCGATTAATTTAATAAAGTTTCAAGCTAATCTCTTGATCAACTACACCATGAGCCTCAATCCAGTAATAATAATTCATACGTACGAAGACGATAAGTTATAGGCTCAAAGTGAGGCAAATTACAAATACTAAGCAAACTGCGACGACTCCTTGCCAATAGGGCCATCAAAATTTCGCAGGTATAATCGACAAAAAAATTCCTGCCGTTTCACCATAAGTTAGAAAACAGAGTTAAGGAGTTTACCGGTGACATTGGTAATAAACCATAAGATTAAGTTCAAAACGACAAAAAGAACAACACCAGCCTCGACCACCACAAATTACTATAAATCAAAAAGAAAAAATATAGTGAGAGAAAATAAATTATTAATTATTACTTACCAGTAACACGTGTGAAATACTGTTAAAAAGTACTAAAATTGACAAAACATACAGTAAGCTTTGGTACACTGATAAAATTCTGCAACTGTGCCTTTTATATTAGACTATTAACAGCATAAATTACGATACAATAATTTCAAAAATGCATCACAACAAAATAAATTTAAAGAAGGTATCTGTGATAAACAATTTCGTTGCAAAGTTTCAAACTAGCTATAACAACGAAGAAACAACTTCTTTTGATGTCATAACAAAACGCAAGATAAAAAGTAAAAAAAATCTTCGAAATAAACCAACAGTCCGTTTCCATGTCGTAATGTCCAAAAAAAAATTTGAAGCTGTAGCTAGATACTGTCAAATGACATTGTTTTAAAAACAGTTTAACTAAAATTAAGCTACAGAATCCAAACAACTCGTCTCCCAATAAGAAGATGAAAGAGCTAATGAGAATGAAACGAAATTGACAAAACAGAAATATTACTTGCGAGCCTGATCAAAATTAGCTACGAACCAATCTACAGATTCTTTTATTGCAACCTTAAAAGGTGTAAATTTGAAATCTGGCAGATATTTTCGTAGTTTGCGGTTTGAAGCAGTTTTCTTGTATTGCCCATCCGCCTTTGTTTCATCCTTTACGATCTCTCCCTAAACACACCTTCATGTTCGCTTCAGACAGTGGTCACATAAAGATGAAAAGATAATTGTGCATTAAAACACCTTGAAATCAAATGCTTCAACAACTGCATTGACTGCATCCGTTATAGAGACCTCATCTTCTTCGTTCACAGATAAAATGATAGGCTCTATTTCCTGAAATTATAAAACGTAAAATAAAAAAATTATAATGAAATTTTAGACCTAAATATGCCATCACTCTGTATTTTACAGAGGATACTTTAAAATGTTTAAAAACGAAGATTATGAGAAAGGATAAATCCTTATCAGAAGCTGTTTAAGAAAACAGTGCCTCGTAACTCCGTATGACCCAAACAAACAGACGAGCAAGATCGAGAGAATATATAAACTGCCTCAGCGGTTTACCACTCCCGAAAACCTAAAAATGCTTCAACAGGAGGAAATAAGCGAGGAAAGGTTAATCTTGTGAGGCAAAGTAAAAACGTTACCAAAAAATTTTTTACCTCTAAAGATTTCCCATCGCGTTTCGCAATGTATGTTTTATGGATTAGTGCTGGAATTACATGACCATTTTCCAAGTTATAATTGTCATGAGGTCCAAAAACGTTGCATGGTATAACTGCTGTGTACCTTCTGAAATTTTGCCTCTAATACCTAAGAAAAAAACACGGGTGGTACTATTAAACATATTCTTTTAAACAGATATCTCTTCTTTACTTGCATCACCATATCTACTCGAGCTAGTTGTCATAAAGAAAGCGACTTCGTTGAGGTATTTAATACATTGCATGATTCCAACAAATCTCTTTCAAAAAAAGTAAATATAAGAGGGTAAAACAATACAAATTAAAGTGAAAAGTATTTTGAATAACCTCCCAAACTCTTGCGCGTATCCTCGATTCATAACATCAATCATACGCTTTGCATAGGAATAGCCGAAATTACTGTCATGTGGAGGGCCGTTGTGTACCTATATGTGACCAAATATATCTGCCACGTTTTATACAAAATCTGATGCAAAAAAAAACTCCATGAAAAACAACTGTTCCAGAAATATACCATAGTCTCATCAATTGGATAAGTAGTTTTGTCGGGAAAGACACAAGTTGATAAACAAGACACACATTTACGAACGTCATTTTCGTGACAGAGCAATAGCACGTTATCGTTAATTTGCTGAAAATGGTTTTTAATTTGGCTAATTAGCTCGAAAATTCAAAGGAAAAAACACTAAAACAGTCAACTTCTGAAATAAATAACTCCAAAATCTTCAACCAAAGATGGGGAAAGTCTAAAAAAGTAACTCAATATAACTTGAATCTTAAGAGACATAAAATATAACGAAGGGCAATGATGATGGAAAATTGGAAAACTGGAATTATGTAACTGATGAAAGGATTTATTCAAATGGGCATGATGCCTATTAAAGCCCTAATGGTGAATTAAAGGTGTCAATAAAAAAAGCGCGAGTTATCTTCTCGCTCTGTACCGTCTAGCGCAACAGTGAGTGAACTCCACCACGGCATACGGGGTTGGTGGCTCAAGCCCACAGCAGGCAGTGAAGACTTCACTAGAGTCGCTGAATTTTCTGATGTTGAACATTGCTCGTATGACAGAGCCTGCTAGTGTTACAGAGACACTTTTAAAGTGGAATAACACGCTAATGCCTATCAAAGAGGAAAGGTCTGTCAACCGCAAATCTTCCCCTTATCACTTCTTCCCAACAGGCATCGTGGTAACAACAAACGAAAAAAACATTTAACAAACCATGTTTTTCCTAAAGAACTGAAGGTTTTGTCGCAAATTGTGAAACAATCCCCCAACCATAGCAGCTAAATGGATGACATGGGTCGGACGATACTTCCGAAAGAGGTTCCGTGTCGATTCTAAATCACTTAGATCGCACTCTTCAGCTCCAGTAAAAAACCATTGTTCATTCACACGTTTCTCCTCATTGGCTACTATCTGAAGAAGCTCAAAATAAACCAGACGCCTAGAAAAAATGGAATTTTAACAGATGCTACAGCCCACTTAATATAATATATAATTGATTTGCGTAAAAACATCATCAAGCGATATACAAAACTTAAGCACCTTCTGTAAAGCCATTCCAACTAAACCGGTCCCACCAGTCACCAATATCCTCATCTCTTCTGCCATAACTGACGGAAACGCAAACAACTACCGCTAAAATCTAGAACTAAATCACCACAAATCATTTTGTCCAAAAAGTATTTAAAAGTAGCCGTAGACAAACGAAGTGATAAGACTACTGTCGAAACCTAAAACCATCTGGCTTCACAATTAAGATAATTAAGAATTTAAGACAAAAAGCACATTCTGAAAACGGCAAACACTACTGGCCAACCAAACTCATTTTCACAGTACTCATGAAAAAATATCAGAAGCACCTCATATAAGAGATATAAAAACCAAAATCTTTTGCAACTGAATCTCAACAAAATCAAACCACGCCACTTCCAACCTCCTGTTAAAAACTTAGGCTAAGGAATCCCATACCGACAGCCAAAGCCGATAATTCTGTTCCCTCAAATGAAAAGTCCTTCCGTTTCCAGCAGCCTACAAAAATAAAACCGACCTTTCAGGAACCATAAAGTCAAGCTGCTAAAAACATTACTGACGACTTCTTCAAGTCTTCCACATCTTTTTAGATAATGGAATAGAAATTTAGCCAGAACCAGTGGTAAAGCAGATATTTCGACGTTGCACTCTAAGAGAGAAACGATGCCGTCAAGGAGAATGGATGGCATGACGACTGTAAGGGGATATGAATAACACAGACCACGAACGCAGTGTTTTATACTTGTCGACGTGGTTATGCGTGGCAAAACTAAAAGTACTGCGCGCGTCACAGTACAATTGTTGATAAGTTTTCACTGACAAAACCAGCCAGGTTGAATATTCCTCTCTGACTACCCATATTCAATTAACCAAATCTTCCAATAGATATGTACACATACTCAGACAAGAAACATTGTCCAAATCTCCATACAAAATACGTGACCATAACAACCAAAATTACTGCAATTTTCCACAAGCCAAAGCACCTGTGAAAATGAAACATGATTTCGAGATGACATAATTCAGGAAGAATCTTCCACCTTTGAACCTGTTTAGAAACAAAGTAACTCAAAGTAAACGCAGATTAATAACTGTTCAATTCGGGAAGTAGAATACAATACAGAAACACTCCTATACAACGACCATTAACGATATTAACCAGAAAACAGTAAGTCTTCAGAATAACTTTTAATAACACTCAATAAGACAGACCATTTGATAAAAATAATAGAAACAAAGTAAAATAGACACAAATTTGGGCTGCTATAAAGCACAAAATAATACTAAAATTAAAACTCAATATCCATCTGGCCGTTTCAAACCATGTTTCTTCGTATGGTCCTCAGCATTCTTCATGAATTTCTTCCTATCTTTAACATATTCTTCTGCCAATTCTGCTCGCAATGGGTGTTCTGGTTCTGGCTCAGTGATTAATGTCAACAGGGCATTCAAAACTGCAAAAAAAGGTAATTCTGTCGAGTCATCAAATTTTAGAAATTGGTTATGACACCTAAAAATGAAGCAGTGTAGGTGGTAGATACAGAGACCTGCAGAGACGGAAACAAATATGTTCAGTAAACTCTTTGCCCTTGCGCCTAAATGCATAAATCTCTTTAAGCAATTCCATAACATCTCAAGCCAATTAGTAAAAAGCTTTGCATAGGTAAGTCAAAAATTATACACAAAATCTCGCTATCTACTACTTTGAACAACTTCACAGTAACCTACGCCTTCCTCCCGTTGAGATAAAACATTCTTCCTGCTCATAATTATATTCTGAAAATAATAAAAAATACCTTGCAACCTGCTCTTTTTAGGCTTCTCAAAATCGAGAGGGGCTTACGAGGTTACTTAAAAAATAATCATGCTATTTGTGAAATTGGCTATACAAATCACAATATTTATTCCGGTCTATAGTTTATGACATTCAAAATAGAAACTATATCTACAAAATTGGTATCTTTTTGTTTCAACCTCACTAATAGAGCTATATTTAGTCGCTTTATCAGCATCATAGAAGATTCTAAACAGAATTAAATGCAACTCTGAAGCTGTAAAAACTACCGTCAAACTAAACAGAGAGAATAGGGTTTTGTTAAAACAGTTATTTTAAAGATATGTAAAATCTGGTGAAGAAAAAGATACGTTGCTACGTTTAGTCAAACACTGGAGTAGTCGTTCATAAAGAACAACGAGATAAGTTTTCTACCAGTTGTTTTCTAAAAATTTTTCAATTCTTTCTAGTATATGAAAGAATTTTAATCATCCAGTTCAATATTAATTTCAAATTGTGGATTTACTTTGCTCAACTTGTAAACCCATAGCTGTTTAAATCTCCAACTCCATCAATAGTGTGGCTACAATGAGAAATCACTCGAAAATTCTCCAAAAACTCTCAGCACGCAACAACAGCAAATTACTAATGTAGAACTAAAGTACTAGTCTTTAAAAATACTTTTTTTAATAAATAAAATAAGCAAAAAATAAATGTACTTCTTAAATAAAATTATATCAGTACCTTGTTCCGTCTTCGTGGCAGGCTTCCAGTTATCTGGTGCAACAATAGGTAAGCAGACTTGGCCTTTTTCATCAACATTAGGATGATATATTTTTGTGACAAAAGTAAGTTTTGGTGGTTTAAATGGATATTCAACCGGAAAATCAATTGAAACTTTAAAGGCACCTTTATTGTAAGGCTCTTTATCCTGCAAAAACTACGTCTCAAGACCAAATTTATAAGGTTTTTTAAACTGAATTACAAGTAGTCTATTAAGTAAAACTACTTCCTTTTGGTAAAAAAACCAAGAAGTTAACAGAAATTCATTTACAACCAAAGTCTCCTTCTGCACAACAACTTTGCAGCGCCTCTACTTATGCACAACAACTTTGCAGCGCCTCTACTTCTTGTAATAGCCAAATGGCAATAAAGAAATATGAACACAGATATCAGAGATAATTGCCCCAGTCATGGTGATAAATACCGTTTTTCACCAAATGCCATTTTCCACTTTAAAATCAATGGCGCAAGTTAGAGCAACACAAAATTAGTATTAAACATTAAACCAGTTGGTGAAAAATAAGATGTCATAAACTATAAAACATTCAAGAAACGGTAAATACACCAAACATCAATTAATAAACGATTTGAGATGTATTACTACTTTTGTAATTCGCGTAAATAAACCGTCAATAAAAAGACCCAGTCAAAATAACTTACAGGTACTAGAAGACCTGTCCAATGAAGTAAGTTAGATTCATCGAATTCAACATTACAAAAAGTCCTAGAATTTGACGCCTGAATATCCGCTAATTCCTAAAAAAAATTCACCTCATTAGTAAACAACCCAATAAATGTTTTAACTCTGTAAATATTTTTGGTTTTACCAGAAACATTTAAGACAATAAGAACAACAATAGTAATAATGATAGTGATAAGGATGAGAATTAGGACAACGATGTCAACGACGGTAATAACGACAATGACAATAAAAATAAAAATAAAAATAACAATGATAACAATAGGAATAATAATAATGGTATTAGTTATTGGTATTACTGTTATTATAATATCATTGATATAATAATAATAATAATAATAATAATAATAATAATAATGAAAAATAATAATAATAATAATAATAATAATAATAATAACATTAACAATAATAATAAGAAGAACAACAACAACAATAAACAACTTGTTACCCTGAGAAGTACAACAAAGGAAGCCCTAAAAGGAAAAAAACACGAAATTTTTTTATGAATCTGCTCTTTCGATATTGCGTCGCGGATTTGTTTGACAGCAAATAAACAAAAACCTGCTTTGAGAAAAAACCTACTCATTTTTTTAAAATCATTAATGTCACTGTTTACTAATAAATCATGAATTTTATAATATTTCAAACTGTACACAATTCTATCCCTTCTCCTCCTGACAAAAAAAAGCCAACAGAAATTACAACAGTAATGCACATACCGCCTCCTAACTCTCACGTTTCCCCTCTCGCCCATTCTTACTCTACATTTTTAAACGCTTCTCTAAGAACTCCTAATATCGATCTTATAGCAAACGACAAACTCCATTTCACCAACTAAATTTTCATCATAAATTCGACAAGGAAACAAATTAGATGAGCAACCTGCTCCACCGTAAAAAGACACACCTAATTTACAGGCTACGGATGAAAAAGCAAAACAGTGTCGTAACCCTCAACAGTCGAAACTTTAATGCAATACGCTTCTAATGATTTTACTGCTGAGTCAAAAATCCTAGTTCAAATTTCTAGCAGAAAAAGATTAAGTTAGATGGATTAAACACTGCAAAAACAAAAACTCTTTACTGAATTGTGAACAACAAATTATGAATCAATAATAATTGGAATGAAATTCAAGCTAAAAATTTACAAAAGTTTTTGACAAGCTCAATTAAAAAAGAAATCTACTGATCCAAAAGACCTGAAATTAAAACATGATAAACAACCCAAAAACCGAGTCCCTTTGTTATAAAACTGAGACTCATCAATTAAAACAAAATTACCTTGCGAAGTCGACGAGAGGACGATGTCATTTTAAAGTATCCAAAATCCTGGAAATAACGGATGTGAAAAGAATGATAATTTTCCATTAAAAACAACGTGGAAATCACCAAAGACCAAAAGACTAGATGGCTCAAAATTGTAACGCAGAGGGTCCAACAATTGCAAATAGAAGCAAATATTGCAAAGATATGAGCAAAACGTAAATTTAAGAATTTTAAAGTATTAGCACAGTAAAAAACGAAACCCATTACGGAACAGATAAAAATAAAAAGAAAATTAAGAATGATGTTAATTACTGGTTGTTACAATTTTTGGATTATTTTTAATGCACCATCTCAGTATAAAATCAGATAGTAGGCAACTAAATATTATATATATATATA